ACCAAAAACCACAACTGTGTACTTTCTGAATTTAAACCATTCCACCAGCCTGCAGAGATTTGGTCCTTGCTTTATTAAAAACTGTGTGTTCTGAATCTCAGTGTTCCCAATCACTTCTGCGGTTCTGTTAACATGCATAAAGCCTTTTGAGTATCTCTATCATCATAACTATTGTTAGAAATCTCTGATTAAATTTATTATACCACATTTATTTTGTACTATTTGCTATTACTCTAAGGATCAATATTAGCTACTCTGCATCGAAACTCTATTTTCTGCTCAAAGTCCCGTGTGCTACTGAGATATAGTTAGCTATGATAATGCTCAACTGAGAGTATCAAAGCCTTTACACAGTGTAATAACTTCACTAGATGGCAGTGCAGAGAAATATTACTTTATATAATTTTCTTTTTTAATAGGACAGGGAAACGTGCCAGTAAGTACTACAGTTTATTTGTATCGTCTGTGTTAACGCTAGATCCCAAGACAGCAATGTTTTAGCCCTCACAAAAGTCTGGGGGCTTCTGCCCAGTTAAGTCTACATGCAAATGTTTGCTAGAGCATGGACATGCACTCTTCCAGCACTAACACCAAGCAGCAGAGTAACATATACTCATCTTTGAAGGTTTGTGTTACAACTGTTCTTCCTCTGTCTTCATATACATGAATAAACATCACATTTCTATTGTCATAGTCACTAAAGCAATCCCAGAGAAAGAATTAATACCACTGTGCACGAACCATGGCCAGGACCAGAAAGGGTCTTTGCTCTGCCGTTGCTGGAGTGACGGACTGGATGAAACCTGAGACCTGATGGTCTTTCCTGAAATGTCAGGTCTGAGACACCGTCCCTCAAAGAATCGTAACGCTGATGACAAACATGTAAGAAAGAGTAAGCAAGTACTTCCAAGAGTTTTGTGAAGAGTACTGTCTGTATTCAGTAAAATATTTTTCATTCTTAAGAACTCTTAAAAACACGTTTGTTGGGAGAACTTAATATCCCATACAGATGACTCAAGAAACAAGGCATAATTTTTCAGACTCCTGACCAAAGTCCAAAACAAAATACTTCAAAAGCAGCAAGTTCTGCAGCTTCTAAGCTTCAAAACCTTCAAATTTCAGTATTTTGAATATGGACAGCTCATGCCTGCCAGTCTTTAGAAATTAATACACCTGAACAAAAAAAAAAAAATCCAGAATGGAGTGGATGATTTCAGGCAAGATCATGACTTTAATTAAAAGATTATCATATCATTAAAATTCTACGGTGGAGTTATCTGACTTTATTCATAATGGTCAGGAAACACAAATTATCATTTAGTACAATGAGGAGATGAAAAAAGCTTGGTTTCTTCTAGCATCAGATGTAAAATAATATTTTCTAAGGTTTGTTCTTGTTTTGGGAGAAATGTTATCCCAAAAAATCAATTCACTGCCTAAATCACACTTTTCTCTACTACGTCTTGCCTTTATTTTAGCGACGTCCAAGACTTTCTCCTTCAAGAGTGATACTTTGTCCTTTGACATCTCATCTGCTTGCTCACCAAACTGTTTGCAATAGCTAGCAGAGATTCAGGATATTGCAAGAGATGATAAAAAACAAACCCAGTTCTGTTGCAAGTGACTTCTTGACTTATGCCTGCTAAGCACGAACCTCCATTCAAAGACTTGAACTTTTAAAGGCATAATTCTCTATATTTATTTTTGTGTAAATATGAGCAGATGAGAAACAATTCCTTACGGCATTCACTCTGTGAGAATTCTCTTACTTTCCCTCTTCACTGGCCGTTAAGAAACAGAAAAATATGGAGGTGCAAAGCCCCAGGGTTTTGTTAGTGACACAGTGGGTTGGATTCTCTGCTCTGCAACTTGCACATGGCTCTGGTCAAACAAACATACACAATACACAAGGCTGCCACATATAGCACAAATTGTTGCCTAAACCAACCCAATAAAAAGTGAATCCCTGCTCCCTAGGCATCAAGAGGTAGGTAAAAATAAGGAGTGGATTATGTAGATTCCGAGGAAAAAATACACTTCAAATTAACTTGGCGGATTTCCCCAACTTGAGGTACTGTAAATAAATTGCTACAATTCGATATGTTTGTAAAACTAAATACATTCAGCAGAAACACAAAACAAAAGACCAACATGACAAAACAAGTGATGCAACTTATGCTCACTCCAACCCTAGTTACAAGGAAGTAATCTTTAATCATTAACACGCTGGATGCTCTGGGATGACCCCGATATGCAACGAGATAGGTATCCTGGTAAGAAGCCAAAAGTCCTCTCAAACAGCCTAGATCCTGACGGAACAGTCCTTTTAGTTTGTTTATTTATTACACTCATTCAGTTTCTCTTTTTAAACACTTAATATAACCTTACATGAGAAAAGTCTCAATTGCAAAATAAAGGTAACTGTTACACTTTAATCGTACCCCTTTCCCCCAAACCCGCACGTAAATCAAGGCACTGCGGATTTGCCTGGAAGCTGTGCCATCGTATTACTCTTAATTAAGTAGCCTTCAAGTAAGCGGCCAATCAATATTGATTCATATGGGTCTCACTGCCGTAAGTCACCACGATGTCTTAGGGTGCTACTGATGTGAATATAATATCTAGATTTGCTCTGTCCACATTCACGTCAAATGAGGATTAAGAGCATAAAGAAATACTCACCTAGTTTCTTCAACTTGATGTACACCTGACTGTGTATAGAGCAGTTTCCCTTCCTTTTCAAAACAGTACAAATAGTTCCCAGTCTACTTAGTTTGCATTTAATTTCTCTTCACAGCACTTGGATCTTGTACTACCACAAAAACGTAGCGACCTACTTTTTCCTGAGATTTAGAAGGAGGACTTGCATGATGGATACTGGTTAAGTCTGACCATAACCTGCACAATACTCTGCTTGGAATGAGGACTGAAAATTGCTGTAATATAGTTACAATAATGCATAATTACAATGAGATGCTCTCTTCCTTATCAATTTCAAACTATAACTGTCTAGAATTGATTAAATGCATTATTAGGTTGATTGGCACTTGCATATCAATATCTAAATTAAATTGATGTAACTGAGTAACTTGCTCAGATTTCCTAGGAGTTTAAGCACTTTTCTCTAAAGGGAAATAAGGGTTTAGTTGTCCAGTGTCTATAGGTGAGTTTTGCCACAGCCTAGTTAGTTGATTAGCGCCATAAAGACTGTAACCTATCAGCAGCATTAAAAGTTTACTACTGTTTGGTTTCCTGTGGTTCTAACACAACTGAAATGAAAGAAAATTGTATTTTATACGCTCTCTCTCTACACTTTGTGCTTACAACATACGTGTTTCTCCAATTTAACAAACTCCATGTGCTTATTTTGCAGCAGAAGTCCAAATTTATTACTTATTATAAATAGTATTTATGTGGAAATGTTAAAAGAGGAAATAAAGATGTAAAAACAAATTGTTCATTCAGTCATGTAACATTTTTGGCTCAGTTCAGGTTGCAGAGTCATGCAAAGCAACTCCTTCTTAATTGTCTGTTAGCCCGCACTGCCCAGTTTGTATAAAACCTCTATCGCAAATCTCCTAAAGCCAGGGATCTGCCCTTACGTGCCAGTGCATTGGTAACTACACGGCAAGAAGAGGTTGACGCACGATAATCATTTTCTTCTCCTTCCTTGGCAGTGAAGAAGCTGGAGGCAGGATTAGTGCGGGTTCCACCCAGCTGCGGACCCAGGACGATCCGCCGTGTAGAGCAATTCTCAACAGGCAGGCTGGTAATTTTGCAAGGGATTATACTTCTATCTTTACATTAACATGGATCAAATATTTGCAAATGAGGTGTTCATTACTTTGTTATCTTAGAAATCAGCATGTTTTTTGTTGCGTCTGTCCTGCTGCCACTACTCAGCCAAAGTAACCAGAAATTCCAGTGACATTTTAAAGCCTCTCAGTTATGGGTGTACAAGTTATTTTTATCCCCCGCCAGGCCACCCAAAAGATTTCTGAAGTTTGAAGCTCTAATTTAAAATGACTGCATCTTTTTACAGCAATTGTACTATGCCTTGATGGGGCCCTGAAGCTTAAATAACAGTGAAACGGAGCTGAAGACAGACTGTCAATTTACAAACTAAACTAAAATTTTATACTTCAGTAAATCCTTGACCAAAGTGGATTATAACATCAAACCCTGACAGACCCTTAGTTACAACATAAGCAGTGGAATAATAAGGCCCTATTTTTATTATCAATCCAAGACCAATTCTCTCTTTTCTGCTCAGATTTTTCTTATCTTTTCTAGTTAGTGTTTAAAAAGAAGGATTAGAGATATTGTAGATTGTTGAACTTTTTTGCTACCCTTTTCTTTAACCAGCAACAAAATTTGCAGTGCAGTGTTGCTTGCTATGGGCCCTAGATGTGAGTTTTCAGCTTGTACAGTCAGACTCTCTTTGTGTTTACTGTGTAAAACAGTTATTGCAGTATGTGGGAAGGAAAAGCCATCATTTTTGTGGAATTCAATGAATTGTATAAATTTTACTGCTGAATTGCTCTGGAAACTTGAAATTGTTACATAATTAAGAAACCCATTCAGATGTCTTTCCAGTCTTTCATTTTCTGTCTTTGATGCATTTGCCACTGAGTTTTTCACAGAATATTAAGCTTTCCATATGGTTTCATTTACATTTCTAACGCAAGAGACCTAGTTTGCCATCATGTGTAGTTTAGGTCTCAACTGTAGGTCACATCTAACTAGGGGACGTCTAGAAAATGAAAAAGTCCTAGCACCTCTGTGGTTAGCCCCGCTGAATAATCGCTGCAGTAGCTGAATTTCACTGTACAGATGTTGGTAATTTGCTATTGAAAACCACCGGTATCAAACTGTCAGAGTCAAGAAATGGCTTTAATTATTTCCTCCCTGGAGCAGTAATAGCCATTGCTTAAATACTGCCAAAGCTGGAACGTGTTTGTGCTGGTGATTTCTTAGCACATTCAGTGAAGGCAGCTTACCTGCACTTGCCAGCCCGCTGCTGTTGGAGATTTTCTTCCTTGTCGGGGGAAACGCAGAACGGTGCAATTGCTTCGGCGGGGGCCGTATCATCTGGAGACCACCTTTGCAAACTTCTGTTATTTTCCCTGGCCACCGAAGACTAACATTGTTTTTCTGCTTCGTTGAGTACTGAAAATAGAAAACAAATCAGACAGAAAGCTCTTGGAAATAACGATACAGGAAAAAGTCTTCTCTGGAAGGGAATCGTTAAATGAAAAACATGAGAAGCTACAGAAATCTTGGTGGAAAAGTGCACTAAGGAAGGAGGTGAGGTCGGCAGGGCTATTGCAGGAGTCTGCAAACGCACAGGGCTATCGCAGGAGTCTCCAGAAGCCCAGGCTTCTCATCCCTACTTGCAGCAATAGGCATAAATAAAACCATCATCAAAACCACACAGCTTAAAAAAAATTAAAAATTCAAGAGCAGGTCAAAATACTTTATAACAGTTTACAGCAATTTTAACATTATTCTCTGTCCTTCTTCAAATGGATCCAAACCCCAGAAAAATTAAATACTGATGTTAATGTGAATGTTGCCACAGGAGCCTGCAACAGGCTTTGGCTCGGACTTCAAAAGAATAAATAAAAGCCCTTGCAAATAACTCTTGGGCTGCGACTTCTTATTCCTCATTCCCATGCTGTATCGATTTGGGAAGACGATCTAACCTCTGTACCCCTGAAAGTTATCTCGTCTCTGAAGTGGGATAAGGTTTTTCTCCCTAAACGATCACAGGGCTTTTTTTTGTCCCTCTGACAGAGGATATTAAGAAGTGCTGATGCAAAGTTTTTGTGAAGTCTGGAGGAGTTTTTCTCCTAGAAGAGCAAGGAGTCACTAGGATGTTCGTACACTAGCCGTGCACTTGGCCAGCAATAAACTGCTCTTCCTTTGAAGTGCACATTTCAGATATTTGTGCATATAGAGACTGAGGGTATTTTCCCACGTGTAGTAACCTTTTCTTCTGCTGACTGCACATCACAGGCCAGTGCTACAGCACAAACGTAGCATTAACGGTCTCCGGGTTGCTCAAGAAAGACGGGCGGAAGGCTGGGAGAAGCAAAACATTGCTTGTAAAGAAGGAACACCATGAGGAAAGCCAGTCTAAATAAATATGTTGGGGTCCCTTTGTTTGGAAATATTTGCCAGCCAAAAATTCTTTAAGTCATTAAGAAGTCACCTCTAAGTTGTGCAACACGTTTGCTATTAACTTGCATAGTCTTTATAAGTACTGCTAAGGAAGAAGTCTGTAATGTTTTAACTACAGCCAAATTTTCCTTGACTTAGGTTTTCTTTTTTTGTCTCCTTCATCCTTTCTTTTTAGGTCAGCAATAAAAAATAAGAATCTTGAGAAAAAACCAAAACCAATTACCACTTTAAAACAAGCAGCTCAGAAAAGAGAAAAGAAAAATGGGTTTTCTTTGCATCCCACTGAAATAACGTCCTACAAGTTCTGTTGAGTTTCTGACCAAGCAGTTAAGATACTTTTTCCAACCGAGCGTGTGCAATGAATATTTCTATGCGGTCACCGCTTCTAATAGCGCTATCTGCCAGTATCATAAGCAATTTGATCATTAACAAAAAAGATTATAGTAGCAGCTGATAGAGGTTTCTGATCAATAGCTATTAAAATTCTGCTGTTATCCCTCCACGATAGCTAAGAGCATAAATAACCAGTTATGAAATGCTCTCTAGTGTCTCTGCCTGGGCAGGAACTCTTTCGATTGCAACAGGCATGTCTTGCGTGTGGCATATCTTAACCACAAAATTGATATCTATGTACAGAGTTTGGTGTCATCGACATTCAACTCACAGCTGAAACTATTTTGGAGTTTTGTTAAGAATGACAAGATTTGATGAATGGAGATTAATGGTTAAAATATTTCAGCCTTTCTAAGTCCTCACACAATGTGATGGCAAATAAGTCTTCAAAGAGATTTATTTTTGTTCCTAGCAGCTGGATATCTAGAGCCTGCCGTTCCTGAGGGAGTCCCAGAGACCTACTTGATGATGGGAGTGTTTCACAGCTGTAAGAGACTCAGATTGTTGAACAATGACTTGAGCTGTAACATATTTTAGTGACTAGACTCTCAAAACCCTGAGGTTTTCTAATTGCCTACAGCCAGCCTGCTTATCGCTGGAAACCTGCGAGCTCCTATCTTCTAACAGGAGGCAGTGAAAGCCTGGCTTAAACATATCCTTCAATTACAAGGAAACTATTCCAGAAAAAAAAAACAAAAACCAAAAAAAAACAGACCACACCAACCAACCCTTCCACCCCATTTTTCTGCTGTCAGAGGTGCAGGTGGGCCAGGGGGCTTGCTGACACGGGTAAGATGACACTGTTCCTGAGGGACTCCTGCCAGGGTGCCGCTTCTTGAGTGCTGTTTGTGGAGGCACGGATGTGAACAAAACCCGTGAGGAGAGAAATGGGTAAATGGTGCGCACTGGTTCCTACAGAATAAAAACCAGCAAACAGCGGAGAAACTGTCCCGCAGCTCATTAAATCCTTCCCCAAGGTGCAAACAGCAGTGAGATTTATTCTGTTGTCAGTGGCAGGGTGAACTTCTCTTTAACCACCGTGATGGTGCCAAAATTACAGCTGTAAGATCAGACCCTGTGCATCATCTCTACAGAGCAGAAAACACCTGAAATGGGTATCACCAACGTCCTATTCTGCAAGGCATAATGGCAGTAATACTAGTAAAGGCCTTCACAGTCCGGAGAAAAATACTCCTTATTATCACTTAGGAGGGAAAACAGGTGTGAAAATTAATTGTTTTTCCTACCCACAGAGAATATTTATTTGCAAGGTGATTACTCAATTACAAACATTTCCATTTTGAATTTGAATGAAAATCAAACTTGGACAATGCTAGAGAAACATTTGTGAAGTCACGATCCCAGAAGGAGAGCTTTTGTAAAGCACTTTTTATAAGCCGCGTGCACGTTTAAAAATCACTTTGAAACTCTCATCAAAGATTTAATTACAGGCTCTGTAGTGATCTATATTACCAGGCCTTGATTATTTTTGCAAAATATGCTACATTAACTTACATATGATAGAGCTGTAGATTTAAATAGCTTTAAAGTATTATAATTAAAATTAAATAACCATAAACAAAATTAATGAATAACATTTCCTGGTTCGTATCCCTAGTTTTTATGGACTCTATTCACTGGCTAATTAGTATGCCAAAAGTAGTCATTTTCTATCATGCAATCATAATACGGAACGGCTGCACTTGTGGATGTAACTCTGCTCAAAACCCAGATGACAGAGAATCGAACAACACAAAGTTCCAGTATTGCCTTGAAATTTAAAAAAAAAAATTAAAAAAAAAAAATCTTACAATGAGTGCCTACTGGTGTAGAAGATAAATACATCAATAGCTATTTTTAGGAACCAACAGAATCCTCGCTAAATGTGGCATGTTTCTAAAACTTATCTGTTAAAATAATCATGACAGTTTTCCAAATTTCTTCTGTGGTAAGCTCGGGTTTTATTCTGTGGTAAGGCATTTGGGGGGATATTGTTTGCCTTAAATGCATTTGCACTGTTTACATTAAAAATGTTATTCTGAAAAATCTGATTTTATCCTTACTTCAAGTGGGCAGCGACAAAAGTAGAATTAATCTACAACAGAAAGAACGACACCTCCCCTGGAAAATTAATCTTTTTAGAATCTCATACCTAATTGCGCATGATGAAACCTAGTGTGGTATTTTGGGTCAACATGAAGCAGTATTTTGTTTGACAATAATTTATTATTCTTACCCTGTTTTGACATGGTTTAGTGCTACACATGTTTTTGGCTAGTAATTTCCAGCGAGCATCATGCTGTCCTGCCTCAGTCATATACAGCATCTTGTCACACACCAATTCAAGTTTGATTTTTTTCTTCCCCAGAAATATAGATTATGTGAGATATCTGACTGACTGTAAAAGGAATAATTTGCTTATATAGTGCCAGTCAGTTTCCAGGCATCACATTTTAAAGGCAGAAAATCCCAGTAATTTTGGATAAAAAAAAAAATGCCAATAATGCCGATTTTGAAACCATCAGCTTTCCTCTATCACTGTGCCAGGAATCAAACTACTGGCACCGTGCACGTTCAAAGGGGAAGAGAAACTGAGGGAATATGGAGAAACTTTAGCTCCAAAGGTGGAGGAGATCAGTGTATAAGAATTACCTGAGCAAAATAATCAAGTATAAAAAAATTATTCCTGGGGAAGCAGGGAGATACTTTAAATGAAAGCCACACTTTAGAAATGCCACTGCTTGTTTACAAAGAATGAGTAAGTGGAATATCTCATGGCACTCTGTGGACTTTAAACATACAATAAGGGGATACTCTAGGAGGAAAAACGAGTTTTACAGTCTCCCATTTCCACAGGGATAATGCTGAACCCAGTTTTGCTCCGGGAAAGTCTTAAAATCCTCAGAAAAATCACACTTACGTGTTTTTCCACAGTAGTTTAGCACACTTCTTTCCTGTATAGTTCTTGATAAAACGGAGTTACTGCCTTGATCCATGTAGCTGTGCCTGAAGCGAGAGGGAACTCCTAAGGTGGGAGTGAAGCTGTCACCTTCTCAAGAGACTGCCTGCAGCTAACGGCCACGCAAGGCTGCTCAAAGCTGGTCCTCTCTCCTTTGCAAGACCTTGACAGCCATAAGAATGAAAACGAAAATAAAAAATCTCACCTATTTGAGGATGGAGAAACGGGGGAGCTTTTCTTCCCTGTGGGTGCCTAGCTACTGCATGTTCCGGTAACCACTGGCCTTCAGGTGCCTTTTCCCCTTAAGTGGTTAAGTGAAAATAGCTGTAGATAATGATGAATTTAATTTCCACCTGAAGCTGTTACAGGATCAGGCCTATAGGGAAGGAGATTCCAGTGAGTCCTCAGCTGCGGAAGGAGAGACAGGTGCAAGCTAAAAAAAAAAAATTAATGGCTTGTTATAATCACTCCTCTTCAATGCAGCTGGTTTAACAAGAGCACAGAGGTTTTATTTGGACCAAGCTTGGAAAATGGGAATTTCCATCTTTTTGTTCTCTTGTTAATGTACTGTGCAGAAAGGTCACTTGTTCTGGCAGTGGCTAATATCTGACATCTGAGCAGATCCTTAACGGGTGTAAATTGCCATAGTTCAGCAGTATAAATAGCCACAGCAGCACTCACCGGCCGAGGATCCGCTCGAAAATGCTTTTGATTAATTTCCTGTTACCGAGTTGGTCTTCAAATGCCTCTAGATAACTTCCTGGCAGCGCAGTTAAAACCCCATTTACAGAGTGGCGTTTCCATAGTTTTGCCTTTGATTCGCAAGCCAGCATTTGATCCTTTCTACTGATCATATTCACCCACCTCCGTCGGCTGCCTCGGCGGGGAGCTGACTGGAGAACCTTCCCAGTGCAAACTGTACCCACACCGCGCAGATGAGCAGCGGCATTAATGCCTCCTCTCCACCCTCTGCTGACTTTTCCCTTGTGTATTTACCAGTCTGTGGAGTCCTCACTGCGTGTGGAAGGACTTTGTGCTCTTCTTCCTCTGGCACAGAGAGCTGGATGATATAAATATGTCACTCCTTCACATCCCAGTATGCATTTATGGCTCTTAATTCTTAAAGGATTTGTTGTTCATATATGATGGCAACTTTTCAGTAGCATTTGCATGACCAACAAATACCGATTAAAAAACAAAAGATAGCCATCTCCACAATACATTTCATTAAATCCTTAATGATTTTTTTTTCATGTGTGGTTAATTTGGACTAAAACTGTTCAATTGCGGCATTTTATAGTAATTTGACTTTAAATACAGTTGTAACACAAGTGGGATTTATAGTCATAAGATTCATTTACTAGAAGCAGGTGAAGAAAGATGTATTTGAGCAGCAGAACCCAAAATTTGCACAGCGAACCTCTGAATAGGGTCATCTTTTCTACAAGGTTGTAATACCAGGATTATGAGCTCAATTTTTCTGTCACCTACATGAGTTCTGATGAAGCGTAACTAAACTCGGTGAAGCTATTCTTCATGGAAAACACATACCATCCTCAGGAGATCACCAGCAAGTGATCTAGTTCTTATATCCATGCCGTATGGCTGAGATTTTACTTCCAGTCAGATGTAAAACTGCACAAACAAGACACAGTGTAAAAGGACCATTGTTTAAAAAAAAAAAATAAAAAAATAAGAGAAGCTAGGGAAAATCTTAGCAGCTTGAAGGAAGAGGGGTGGAGATGCTCTCAGGGCTTCTTGGTAGAATCTGGGTTCAGTCCCAATGACCACCCACAGATAGGTATAGAGGTGGACCAGAGGCAGGACCCTGAACCAGTGGTTTAGGCGCAGTCCTTGTCACTTCAGTTTCCTGGATGTTACTTCCAACCAATGTACTAGAAAAGTAACTGTCAGAGACAGGGATTAGAGGGCAAAAAGGAAAAGATAGCATTTTGTGCCAGATTTTGGGTCACATAGTGGTAGTAAGGAGATGGAAAAGCGTTCACGTACCAACCTGCCTGTACTCCATCTGTTTGCAACAAGATACTCAGTCCCTGTGTAAGCAGAGGGAAAAGGGATGGGGTTTTCTTATTGCACATTCATGTCGATTTTGAAAGGAGGAAACCAAGCAAGCTAAAATTAAATATAATTTTCTCTTTTTCCCCATAGACTCCGTCTGGATGGATGCCAAACCACATTTCGGAGGGGTGAGAAAGGCCCAACATCTGCTTCTGGTGTAACTGTTTGTATCTTCACTCTAGGAAAATTAGATTTGAAATAATCTCAAATTGTCTGACACCTGTATCCTATTAGAAGTGACACATGGAAACACCTTCAGCGTACCGAATTTAGCACCATGTCAACAGTTTAAAGTTAACAGGAAAAAAATTGGTAAAAATCATTGCTTCACATTTTCTGCTGAAACAGATCTTGTGTCATTTCACAGGATCACATTGTAAGCTTGATCCATAAAAGTAATGGGTTTTGAACCAGTAATTATAACATGGTTTGTGTCCCCGGCTGTAGCTGCAATTAAACTCAGCGTGCACCTCAAGGTGACTGGCGTGCTGCATTTTGAGCTCAGTGGAGGCACACCTATGGGTTGGGGGCCAGCCAGCACCCGGAACATGGACACGCAGACATTTCAGGGACACGTTTTCTGAAGTTCAGCTACAAATCTGAAGTTTAGCAACTTACAGCTTATGAGAATAGCAAGCAGGTCGTTATCTTATTTGTCTCAAGAAAGGGACTCATATTCCTGCAACAGAAAATAAATCCTGCGTGGCATAGAGGTTTGCTAGTTTTTGGAAAAAAATAAAAAAAACCCCAACCCTGAAAGCCTTCTGAAGTCAGGCAACTGGCTTTGCTATACCACCTGTGCGCCTCCCTCAGCGCAGATGCTGAAGTGGAAGTAGGGATATATTTTAAACTTCCTTCCCAACCCTGTGTAATCTCCCATTTGCAAATTCCTCTCGGTTAGGTGACCTTTTCCCAGATAACATACTGACAGTAAGATTCAGTTTCTTCTCAGAAGGACGTTCATTAAAATTCATAAAACTTCACGACTTTTATAAAATTTATACTACCTAAAAATACACTATCCGTTACAAAAACATGTGTCTTCCCATTCATCTTTAAACACATTCCCTTTTTTTGAGAACTCTGAATCAATTTGTTTTGAGAGATTAATTGGTTTTTAATGCTAGTCTGAGAGTAAGGGAAACTGCTTTCTTTTTAAGTAATAGTGTTTTTCAGCAGATCTGCATCTTCAGTGAGCAATGTCTAGAATCAAGAAAACAGGAAAAAACACTGGTCTTGATTCTTTTTTTCTTGTGTTCCTGCCAATTATTTGACACCATGCAAGCAGTGAGCAAGCAAAGAGGACATTTACAGAAAGACAGGCAGGTCAAAATGTGTTTTAAGAGTTGGAAAATACAAATTAACTTTTGGAAATTTTGGAATGCTCCGTAAGGCCTGTTATAACTAACCCACTGTCTGCATGTGAGTAAAGTCAGAGCTCATGCAAGAACAGACCAAAAAGTTAAAATCTGGGCAAGCACACTGAATTTCAACATGAAATATGGCACGCTAATGAAAAATATGTTGAAAGCAGAAAAATAGGGCAATAATGGAAAGAGAGACCTATAACACTAAACCATTTTTTAGACAGAAGGAAGCATGCACACTGTAACAAGAAAGAGTGTCAAGTACAAATTTAGGTGTTTTTTTCAAATCCAGGACCAGCCAAGTGGACTTCCCATACGGTGTGGCACTAGTGACACTAAACAAAGGATAATACATAATATTTCACATGCACCCATAGCTGAAAAATATCAGGGAAAACCTGGAGCACTATGAAACCTATTTGAGGTGGAATTTATTCTAAGGGAACAGCTCCAGTGCCACAGCCTGGATTTGGAATAGTTTAATGAAAACTGCTCCCACGGTCTTCCTGAGGTTTAAATCTCTCAGCTTAGGAGAAAACATACTGTGAATCGACCCCTGCAAGCTTCCCAAGAAAGAAAATGATAAACTGCTGTAAGCAAAACATGTGTGTACATGGGAGGAACTGCTTTAAAGCAACATGAATTTGAACGAAGGAAGCTCACGGCTACATATTGCAAACAGCCTTCCAAAAAGGATGTTACATGGTAGGACAGTTCCCCCAAAAGGATGCTACAAATCACATACTTGAGTTATTAAACAACAGCAACACTCTGAAGGGAACAGTATAAGACAGGCAGTAATTCTTCATTCGGAAGGTCTGATTAGAGGATTTATCTTTCTAAAGTATTTTTACTTATTACTGAAATAGATGGGAGAAAATAAGGGTGCCTTGCAAACGGCTGCTCTACTTTAGGTCCACAAAAAGCAGCTTCAAACGACAAGGTGCCACTATGAATTCACTAAGGCTGCAATGCTGTATTGCGGTCACGTTACAGCTGAGGTTCAACTGGAACAGGGATGCAGAGCCCTGCTATTCAGATGTGCAAACACTGATCCCACCCGAACATCAGGATAAACTAGCGCCTTCCCCGCAGGCAGCTTGGCCTCTGAGACAGACTTTAGCTGCTGGCAAAGATCCTCCCACACATCCCGCAACCTGTTTATCCCAGCTGAGACCTCTGTGAAGAACCAAATCAACAGATACACATTTGTAAGTGTAAACACAGGCTGTGAAACTCCAAACTGAAAGGCCAGCGCAGCCTTCTCCCATATCCCAACTCCCACCCTTGAACTTTCAGAAGTCAATTTCTCCTTGGCACTTCTGATTCTAAACACATGGGCCCTCTTCATAGTCTTAGCAAGTTTTAGCCCTTCAAAAAATAGCCAGTCTTGGTTATTCCTGGTTGGACCCTGCTATCACAACTTGACAAATGTGAAAGAAAACAACAGATAATAAAGTTTGAATACAAATCCCACATTTGTCCCTGAGGCAATGGGTGTCTTATCCCAGCATTTGTCTCTCCCTTTCAGAACAAAAACAAAACAAGGATCTGCTTATCCTTTCCTTTTCAGTTCACAAAAATGTAAGTTCCTGCAAAAGCCTGATCGGTGGCTGATAACATCACCTAATCTGAGTAGGAACAGCCTGGGGACTGTGGTGTGAGACAGGAAAATACACCAGCTGGAACCCTGCACAGGACAGATACCAGCTTCAGTTACCTCTGTCAGCCCTGCTGGCTCTCCTCGCGCCTACAAAGACCATAAAACAATCATAACTCAGAAGAAATACGGAAGAAAACATAGGGTGAAGAGGACGAGGAAATCTGGGAGCTTAGCAGATTAGTCACTGGTGTCTCATGCCTGGGATGTGGGACCTGCTGAAACATTTTCAGTTCAGTTAAGTAAACCTAGGATTTAATACCCTCTTGTCCGCAACCGCAGAATTATTTCACGGTGGCCGAGGCTCAACTGCATCTGAAAACGAAGTGCCCTATTTGCTGACTTTCCCTCTAAAACAAACTAAGGTGCGTGAGCAGCTGGCATATCTTTCAAGGGACATTTCAGGTGTTTGCTTTCTTCAGATTAATAAAGATGTTCTTTCCTCTGATTGTTTCTGTAGCTCAGAAGACTTTTTTCCCAAGAAATACCATGCTTATTGTGTGCCCTTTGTATTTCAAGACAACAGAGTGGTTCCCCTTTGAAAGCTTGCTGTGAGCCGGCACGGCTCTGATCCACTGGTCTCCAAGAAGCTTTTGATTAAGCTACACCAGTCTGTGCTGCTGAAAGAATGCCCCTGTATGTGGAATGATTTACAAAAAGCTACACACAAAATGTAGATTTTGCTCTTTATTTAACTGCTACTTACCTTACAGACAAGATGCACGTACATCAGATGGACTTTTGGGAAGAACCACCATTTCCGGCCTCCAAACAGCCCAAATCCCCGAGGAGTGACAAGCGATGGTGGCAAGAGCAGCCGAGGACATGTGCTGTGGTGTTACCCTGCCTGCCTCCGGAACCTGAGGCAAAGAAAACCAGAACAGAAGTAAACGCAGAAGGTCCGTGCACCATCCTGCAAGAATGTCTGGATCCCAGCTGGGACTTTGGCACTATTCTTTGTCTTTCTTCAGGAACCTAACCTTTCTGTAGGACCTATCTAGAAGCGGCCATGCCTTTCACAATATAACATAGGTACAACAGCATTAGGCTAAGACAGAGGATCTTCCATTTTGAAACTTCTCTGAAGGTCAACATGATTCTATTAAATGCAATAACATTTAAAAATCCATAATGCTTTTCCCAAGATTAATTTCTCTGTCATCTTCCTAAAGACTTGCACTTCTGTATCATTAGCTGCAGGTGTTTGGCAAATACAATCATTCACATAGAGAGGAACACAGTGACAAACAAGAAACAATGAGCTTAAAGGTAGCCAGGTATGACAGCCCACTGTAGATAAAAAACTGACCAGTACTCCGGTATGCACACATAGCTAATTATGGTGACATCTGAATGGGAGGATGCCAAAATAATCTTTTAGGCCATAAACAGAATTTCAGAATCAGGGAGACTTCCTGAAGAAAAGGAACCCACCTCCTTTAGAAATATTTGTTAACAGAAAGTCTAATAAAGGCGTATGTATTTATAGAGCCTATTGTAATGCATTATGAACAGGTTAATGATTTTGGTTTTTCCACTCTTGGGTATCTACAAAAGCAAGCCGTGATTTTTTTGTTGATTTGTTGTGTAATGGTCTTGCGTTTATTTCCCAGCTCTGGGAACTGATTAGGAAACAATATTGAGGAGTGAGGGATTTGGTAAGATTCACTTCAGCTCCCAGCAGGCTTATGACAAAGCGTGACGTGGAACGGGAAGGAAACACCTTTCCACATCAAAAGTGGAATAGGAGAGCAAAACCAAAATTAGATGCAAATATTAATGTTTTAATCACAGAAGGTGAAGATCTAACTGCCTTGCAATTCTCTATCAAACCCCATGTTACTTCAGATATTTATTAATCATTTAGTATAAGCCCTGCAGAAGCCCAACCTGCAGGAGGACCCGCTCACCCTGTTTGTAAGTATCCCTGAGGACTGGAATGAATTTCACAAAGACTTAATGTGTGTCCATACAAGAAAGGGTCACAGCTTTTACTAAGTTTTCTACAGAGCCTCCTTGTTAATTTAGAACCCGCTGGTATGTATTTTGCTTCTGTCATCGCACAGTCCCTTTACTGCCTTGTTTAAGCCTGAGGTGACAGCACACTTAAAAACCAAGACAAAAAGTCATACACAGAAAAATCCACTTCTATAAAAAGGGATACGTGTGTGCCAAAGGTATGTGCTATGCTATAGTTGTTTCTGACAGTCTCCTGGGATGTGACCCTGCATGGCAGTTCTTAGCTGGGTGCGTATCTTCAAATGCATTGGTAAAGGACTGAAAGTGCCTGTTTAAATAGAAATGCTGGCTGATTCAGAAAAATGTGAGAGGAAAATCACAGCTATCTTTCACCGATGTGCACAGGCAATGTGAATGGGCATTTTACAGACATTTCAAGCCTACTAATATTTGTTACTAATGTAAAGTAGGCTCAATTCTAATTTATTGGTTTAACCAGACATACACTGCTATGGTCAAAGTCATCTTAAATGCTTTAAAATCTAGTATTGATCATTTTCTTACCTCATATAATCAAAATTGCCTTTTAACTTCTTTCATAGATGGCCCCAATGCATAAAAACACAGCATAGAAAAAGTACTTTCATAAAGAGCAAAATCTGCTGTCAACTGAAACAAGTTCCCTCCTCCCTGGTACCATTAACACTTTCTGATTTATGGAAATGCTATTCAGTTTGTCTTCCTAAAAATTAATCAGATTGGAAAAATAAAAGGGTCGTTCATGGTATACTTTCAATGGAAAATGTTTATGACAACATGATCATGAAGAAAAATGTAAGCAGACCAAAGTATTATAATAATGGACATTTTCAATGTTATCAATTTGACTGATTTTTTCTAATTTGCTTTCGGAAAGGCTGAAATTAAAACAAGCAATTCTGTTCACTAACTCAGTAAACTCTCGGGTGTTGCGAGTTTGAACTCACTGAATTGGAATTTCAAGACTCGTTCCCTGAGTTCATTTGGAGAATAAATATGTCTGAGTAGGGCTGTGCTTTACCAGCCAAGCGCATGCTTAGTTTTCGCAGAATATATTCAGTGCGTATTTGTCTGGCAGAAGTTACTCAGCAATTTTGAGGAACTTGACCACAACGTGTTATCACCAGCGGAGATTTTTCTCCACTGAACATGCAAATGCAACTTTTTCTGAGAAAATGTGGTTTTGTTGCTTTCAGACACAATTTGAGGACAGATTGCTCATACGCTGACAATATGACCAAATATTGGCGTTCGTGTTATTTGGATAGCGATCCCATAACATATTGCATCTATCAAACAATTACCTTGTCACTAACTCTTTAAAGTCTAGAAATATGTATATGCACAAGCAGCTTTGTTGATGCATGTCATTCCCCACACCAATAACTTGCAGCTGGGAAACTAACAACCTAATTTGTACCTTGTTGGGCAACAAGATGTTCTGACAATTCATCGCGCAGAGGAAATCCAGACTTCTGAAAGTTGGTTGGGGTTTTTTTTGCTGATTCTCTGGGCTTCCAGTAGAATTTTACTGCACCTTTTTAAAATGGCAACTGTTCAGAACAAGGATCCTGCTCCTCAGTAACCTGTGAAGCAGCCAACGTTAACTTGTCATTCTATTAGTAACAGTAACAGCCAAAATATTAGGAACCACGTAATCTAATTTGCTATATTATGATGCATTTGGATAGCAACTGCAAAGTTGCTATTTTTTTACAGCTTTTCAGGATTTATAAAGAAAACCCTCCACAATTTTACTGTGTTCATTACCACACCAAGCTCACCAATTTTCTAGTGACTTGCCCAAATTTTCCTAAGAGGGTGTCATTCTTTCTGGTAAGTCTGCTATCTTATTTTTACAAAAGAGTATAAAGGAACACAGACGTGGAGCTCTGCCAGTCCTAATAACAGTAGGGGTTTCTAACGTTGCAGTGATTTCACTAGATTGAATTTAGATGTGCTTTTGAACACATGCAGTTAAGACCTGCTCCAGAGTCATCCCTGTCTCCAGGAGCCTGTTGGATTGCGCTGGGAGATAACGGATTGACATTATTACTGATCTTGGCCAAATGCTGTTGGTAGAGTGCTCAAGGTCATTGGCAGCTTACCTCTGCATGTGCTGGGTGATGTACAGCAGCGCTCAGCTGCGCTGATGGGTTCATCGTTCTCGAAGGCAGTGACCAATGTTGAGCAGCTGGCTGAAAGGCTGTTTGATCTTCCCACTGCTTTGCCAGCAATACCACACTGCTCGGGGCGGGGGGGCTAAGAAAAAAAAAAAAGAAAAAAATAATGCCACTATTGAAAAGATTTATCAGCAAAGGTAGTAGAGCCATGCTTGACCTCCATATCTTCTCTTGTTCCCCAAAGGCAGCACATGTAAGATATTTCCTGTCTTTCATGTTACTGACTGGAATGCATCATGAAGTCCAAATTTGCAACCTGCTGTCTGTTTTAGTCATTAGGCATGACTTTCTTTGTCTCTTGATGAGAGCTGCAGCCAACTGTTCACTGTCGTAATGCACAATTTTTTCAGTATTCCCCCCTCCCCTTAACAAATAAACAACAAAAAAAAACCCAGCCAGGGTGAAAGTTGAAATTCCCTCATCAGCCAAGGCTGCTGTCTTACAGCATCTTATCCGCACATCAGCACATCTCACACTGCTCTTGATCACCAAAACATTAGTTACAGAGTAAATAGCCTCCACCTATTATTCAGGGGTCAAATTTGAAGGTTACTGAGCAACAATTAAAAGCATCCACTAGATTTCAAAAGAGCTGATCAGCTCCAGCATTTATCCAACTGAGCATGAAAGTTGGAGGTTACTGGCTGCAACTTGGTTCTACATTCATTGATCTGTCAATAACATCTGTGCATTCTGATTTTTACTATTTTTTTAAAAATTATGTTCACTCTGCAGAGAGATGCCACAGGTTATGGAATGAAGCTATTGTGTTATCTTTGCCAGTTGCTGTATCTTGGAATATTGTTCACAAAACAGTTACTTGGTGTTTTAACCTCTGACCACCTTCAAAGTTACCTGAAGAGAATTTCTAAGGACATTAAAATATACATAGTGTACATATACATAGTCTGGTTATGTTTTGATCCCCACAAGTGGTGCACAACTACTGGTTATGCCCTCACTCCACTAATATTATACGCATAGTCAATAAATGTCTTTAAAATGAAACAAACTCCTGGAATCCCTGTTCATATTTATAATAAGCCTTCTGCAGCAGAGGAAAAAAAAGAACCAAGAAAAGGTGCACATGTCAAACTGATACCCAATTTGAAAACTAGATTGGTGAGAGGGATCTCACCCTGACAGAAAGTGACCTGCGGGGCTGCTCTGCCATTCCAATAATAATAAATTATTCCACGAGCAGCAAAATTAGCAGAACTCGATTTCCTATCTATTTTTGCCCTTTGTCCCCTAAATTTCCTTCCAGTGCAATAAGCCCAGCCATCTGCTCTTCCCCTACACCAGCCCGAGTTGCGGATACCTGCAGTGGTTAGTCTGGAGCTGGAGACATGGGTGGCCCAGCAGCTCCTGTCAAACCCACGAGGTGACTGATGGGTTGCTGACAGTGCTTCTGTCAGTGTGGGCATCAACATGCATCTTCTCCTGCTTTCCAGCTCCCAGCGCTCATAGACCTCAGAGGCAATTCAGGTGATTAAATCCCATCTCAAATCTGGTTGAAATTGGGGAGCCATTTCCAAGGTTACGAAGGGGAGACCGGCCGGCAGGTTGGGAGGCGGACCACAGAGGGCTGGCGTGCTAGGCTAAAAGCAGCCCCTTCCTCTCGTTCAGCATAAATATCCAAATCCCTCACAATTAGAAGTAAAACAGCCTTCGACTATGTTGCACTAACAGTTCGGCAGCTACTTTGTAGATTATAAGGCAATTTGATAATTTTTTTTGTATACTAATTTGACATCAGTCGTTGCAAGCAAGTCGAAAAGACCTAAAGGTCAACTCATCCATTCATCTGCAAACACAATTATGTCATTTATCCACGTCCCACCTCGTAACTCAGAGACAACCTTTGTTGTTTTTAATGGTTTGGAATTGCAAGACAGAAAACAGAGTATCTGCCAGTTTTCTCCTTCAGTTAAAAATGTTGATCTGAAGGGAGGAAAAGCATTTGAATTCAGTTCTACAACAGCAGGAGTTTCAGTCGTTCCCTTTTAGGAAAAGTTGCAAGATCCCAGACATGAGTCACCTCTTTGGAAGAAAAAGATGGAACATTACAACTATTTTTGCCTAAGGACTTCACCAAGTGATAGAAGACTTTAATGGAAAGTGTCTGGTTATGCCATGCATCTCTTGGGCTATTCCCAGCCTTTGCCTGACCGTACCCATTTACTTTGAAAGTTGTGAGCTCTGGTGGAGTAGGGATGCTCAGGAAGCTTATACTGGTGTGCTCCCAGTTGCAGATAACACTACACAGTTCAGTGCCTCAGCTGTAGACCACAGGCTGAATTATTTTCCCTATAGCATGAAATAATTAATTGACTCTCATTACCTGTTTTAGTTCTGGATTTTCTCATTAATTTTAAACAGATACTAAACAGATCATTTTGGGGAAGCTTTCATAGTGAAACTTTAAAGATGTTTTTAAGGAAGAAGATCCATGCTGAGGCATTTTCCTCTAATTCAGTCCATTAAAAATGACTGAAAACAACCAACAGAACAATAAGAGGAGCTTGACTGACAGCTAAGGCAGGCTCCCTTACTAGCAGAAATTATTTAGTTACTTGATGATTCATGGAAATTTGTGTTCCCACCAGTCACATGAGTTAGTTATAAAGCTTCGCGTACGATTAATAAAACCCCTCAACACCCCCACATTTTCCAAACCTTTAGACTATACAGCAAATCATTGTTGTCCTCCCATACTGGAAAGGATATTTCTAGTATATTAACGACAGAAGATCCAGAACTGGGAGGGTACACTGGAGACTGGGCGTTTGGCTCTAGCATTGCCACCAGATGCATTTGTAGTGTCCCTGGGGCATTCATGTAACCTTGGCTTTTACTTGTGAAGTACAACCAAATCACGTACCCTGTTCTTTAATACCCTTTGCTTTGTCTGTGAATTAGATCTCATTTTGGGTTATGACAAATGACAATTTCAATTTCACATCAAATGGGATTTGAAATGCCACACAAGATGTGCATTTAACACTTGACATCACCACATCTATTTTAAGTAAGCATCTAAACACACTCCAGACACTGCATTGCAGCCTCCCTTCCCACTGAGCAGTAGCAAATCCTGTTCACTGAGGCAGAGTATCGCTTTTCTGTACTTGGAGGTGGACTGGTGAAATCCTCGTATGTCAATTCTCAAGCACAGGCTTTAGTCCTTTTTCTGTCAGTTTAGATAAATTGACTGTGCCATTCATGACTCTCTAATCACAGCCACATTACTCAACATACAGTTTGGAGAGTTTTCAAACTGCCATTATAAAATATCTTAAAGAGAAGGGACAACCACTGTGTTCCAAAACTTTGCTTGCCCATTTTGACCGTCTGTGTAAATCAGCAAACAAACTTCACGATCACTTGTAAGACACAACCCAAAGATATCCAAAGAGCAGAGATACGAATGCAACTCAACCTGGTACTGCCCAGGCCTCTTTAAACCCAGGCAGACCTACCATACATCTAAGTCACTTTGCTAATTAATAGGCAAGCACAGGTCGCTCCAGATAAAAACCATCTGATGGATAAGATAGATGACTGCAAAAAAATAACCAACGGCAGTTTGACAAGTGCGAATCAACACTGCCCATCAGAAGGGAGAGCAGGGGGCCAACAGCAAAGAAAATGTGTGGAGAATAACCAGTCATGTTTTATGTATCGATTTATTTTACACGTGCCTTACAGAGCCCACTGGCATAATTTTATCAAAATCAAGATAAATTTAAAAAGAAAAGTGAAAGTGATTTCTAGGAGCTTGGATGTTAGTGAGAGGGTAGACTCAAAGATGTTAGTATTAAGCTATGTATTTTGGGGAAACTTGGAGCCAAAGTAATGCCTATCTTCCACAAACTGCATAATTTATATCAATTACTTAGTGCCCACAGACTAAAGCAAATTTGATAAAGGGAAAAAGTAGCCCTAGTTTTCATCACTGAACGAAATATGACTGGTGAGGGGAAAATAAGACTGGCACATTAAAAATAACTGTTGGGAAAAGGACTACTAGTCTGATTGCAACTCACGTGTGATTCAGTCAACTGCCTGTAACCATGAGATTGGCACTGTTTAAATTCACAGCTTTTCAGAAGGATGAAGCTTGCTCCCTGTTCATCTTTGCCACCATCTAAAGAATTAAGAGAGTGGCTGGTGATGAAGAACAAATTAATCATGTTTATTGTGACAACCATGACTGTTATAAAACAGATCCTCTTACAGCACAGGCTAACCTCCCCCACACTTTTTCTTTCTTTATTCAAAACTTGTTGAACATTCAGTTCAGGTGCCCTGAGACGTACGTCTAGAAAAGTTCCAGGAAGAAATCCATTTCAGGTACATGCAATAGAAGTTGCTCGTAATACGCTATTTACATTATGTGTCTAGATGTACTGCTGTTCTCACATCTGAAGTCATGCACTTATGTCTTAAAGAATGGTTTTGAACACCCTTCAGGAACAACCAGCTGTGTAGAAAAACAGCTAACTGAAAGATATTTATCTTTGATTTAGTTCAATATTTGATTCTTATCTGAATATTTACTCTTTACGGTGGAAGTGGCTGAGGACAGGGAGCAATCAGGAATTTCTGAACCAAGGTCAGCTCAAGCACAGTCAATAGGAAAGTACTGTGAAAGCTAATATTCAAAGCTTTCAAATGGGCTAACGAAGGACAGTGGAAAGAATGCCTGTGGAAGGAATGCCTGTGGACTGATAAAAATGGAAAGGTTTCAAACTAGGGAGTTTGAACTGACACACAAACTCTTGTCCTGAAAACAACTCCTTCCTTGACATTCTGAGGTGTTAACAGCCTTTGTCCAAGACAACATCAGCGGAAGAATGGCTGTAGCCATCCTTTACCTTCCCTGGCCCTACAGAGTGCACCGTGCACCCAAGCATGGGAAGGTTTGTGACTGCACACCCCACCCAGCCTACCATCGTCCAAGCTAGGCTAGAGAA